TTGGCCATCCGCATACACGGTTCACGGCCCATCCTCACACCCGGACTCAACTTTTCCCTTATCTCGTCTCATCTTCCTCCCACTCTCACACCCATGGAGTAAGTCTTTCCGCTATCTCTCCTATCTTCTCTCCTACTCTTCTTTGCTTCTCCCATTCTTCGCCCCTCTTCGTTCTTTCACACCACTCTCGCCCTTTCGCTTTTTCGTCGCCGTCAATCCAGCTGGCCTGCTCATCCAAAACATCACTTCGCCCCTCCATCATCCACCTGACACGTCGAAGTGCCCTCCATGTTAGGCATGTTCCGTGTCGAGAAGAGGGATGACTACGCCTACCGGCGCTACGACATGCGCAGCGTCGGCGTCGGTCCCACCAAGACGACAGAGACCGCGGTTAGGGGCCGCGAGCGCTCAGTTCGACAGCGCGAGACCGAACTTGTGCAGGGTGCTGGGCCTTCGGTGGCCGAGATCCGGCGGGAGTTCAACCGCGCATCGGCGGTGCAGGCGGACTACTACGAAGACGAGGAAGATTATCCCGACGACGACGACTACTACGACGATGAGCTGGAGGAGGTCGAAGGTCCGCTAGCTGCGCGCGACCTCGTGCGCCGGCTTGACAGGCTTGAGGCGCTCGACGCTGCCGCCAAGGCGTACGACGAGAGCTTCGACCTGCGGGATCTGCGCGACTTCCGTGACCTCCGCGAGCTGCAGCTCTCGGACGGCGAAATTTCCCACCCTCCGCCATACCCCGACAGCCGGGGGTCGCCTCGCTCTCACTCCCCACCCCGCAACCGTCCGGTGCTGACCACAATCTTCTTCAGCTTCGTAAACCGGTACATCGCTCCGCATCTTCCCGAGGATATCCAGGCGATCCTCCACGACCCGCCGTCGCTGAACGACCCGGCTTCGCTCGTGCCCCTTCTCCGCGCCGCCGCGCCGTACACGCAGTACCTCCTGGTTCTGGTAGCGCTGTACGTCGTCTGGGCGTTCGTGACGGGCATCGTCTTTTACCTCGGGCGCTTCCTGCGCTTCTGCTTCCGCATCGGTCCCGTCCTCGCCATTATCGCCTGGGTCATGGCCAGCACGGGTCAGGGCGGCATCGACGTCCTCTTCGACGCTTTGAAGGCGTATGCCGGCGAGGGAGCCGGAAACAACCGCCAGGCGGGTCGCTACGGCGGCGCTGGTGGTGCTGGCGGCGTCCCGAGGGGAGCGGCAATGTACGAGGCCGGGCGCCGGACGCGTCGCCGCGGCCCGGGCGGTGGAGAGCGGTACGACGCGCGCGAGGCGCGGGGCTACTACGACAACCCGCGGACGCGGACACGCCGCAACGAGTGCTCTCGGCCTTCTTCAACAATGACGGGCTCGCGGGTACCGTGCAGGAGTTCGTGAAGCGTGCCGTCGCCAAGGGCACTGGCCTTGACTGGCTCTTCACCCAGAACCAGAACGACGAGCAGCGCAACAAGCGCGACGGCGCCCGCACTACTCGCACCAGGTAGAATCTCCTCGCAGCCGTGTCCACTATAGAGTACCGATCCATGTCCAGCTAGACGCCGTGTTGATTGTAGATTGTTTGTGCCATGTATCGAGACGACCTAATGCCGCATAGCCCTGCAGTGTTGCTCTGAGCTCAGCTCTTGTTTCCTTCCTTTCGGCATGGAAGCACAGCGTGGAAGGGCGCTCCGTGTGTGTTTTGGCAGGGATGAGGTGGCAAAGAAGTCTGCGCGGCAGATATGACACGCCAGCGCCGACCCTGACGTCAGTCCCGCCAGCGGTCTGCCAAATGTTCGGTGGAGGTCGATCACCCTTCTCGACACCTCATCATCAGTCAGCACCAGCGCCATGTCCGAGTCACCAAAGGAAGTGCGCCTCGACGGCTTGCAGAAGGACAAGGTACAGGGTCTCCCGCCTTGTGCCTACTAGTGAGTAGACTCAGCTAGGATGGTTGTGTATTGAAGCTGACCAGCAGCATTCGCGATTTTATCACCGAGGAAGAAGAGGAATACTTGCTGAGGAAGGTGAGTGCCGTCAATCTCAAGTCTTTTGGAAGAGCCTTCTTAGAGACAGAGAGCTCTGGTGCTTGTTACTTGCGGGCGCGAACGGGCATATCCGCCCTTCAGCTCCCAACACCGACTTGCCGAGCCCAGTCTCTTCCCTCCCTTCCTCCTTCTTGCTTGCTCCGGACACTCTCCGGAGAGGTAAGGCCGGGAGTTACTTCGCTTTCTTAGGTTTTCTTCTCTCAATTCCTTTTAGAAGCTGCTTCCGCCTCCTGGTTCAAAGCTAACAGGCAGATCAGCGAGACGCCGCAACCGAAATGGAAGACGGTTGGAAGTGGGAGGCGGTAAGCTTGGGTGATCGGCTCCAGCTGACGACAGATTGCAGTACTGGGGTGCGTCCTCACCCATCCCAGCTTGATACGGGATTTCTGAGCTGACATCCAGGCGGAACCCTCAGCAAAAACGGCGTGCTGCTCCCCGAACCGATGCCGGAATGGCTTGATTCGTGAGTCAACTCTCTCACCGCTCTCTTCTTCCTTCTGTTCAGTGACGAGGAAGGTAATCAAGAGGGGACGCCTAACTGACCTGAGTCGCAAAGCTGATTCCAGACGCGGGATTACCGAGCGCATCGACTCATTACTTGATGACGCGGCTGGATCCAGTGGCGGAGAGCACGCGCTCGGCATCAACCAGGTCCTCATCAATGAGTATGCGCCTGGACAGGGGATAGCAGTGAGTCTCGTCTTCCATTGACGACCTGCATCCTTTCTCTCGTCATTCTTCTTTTCCGCTTTTTGAAACCTCCGTAGGAAGCTGACTCCAGCCTCACGAAGATGGCCCGGCTTTCTCTCCCCTCGTGACGACGCTGTCCCTTGGCTCGGTGACTGTCCTCGATCTGCACCACTACGTCCGCCCCGATGCCCCATCACCGCCCATGATCGTTGTCGCCTCCGAGGACGGCGAGAGCGGCCGCGCCATTGCCGCTGTGCCACTGGGGCATGTGCTGCTCGAGCGACGATCCCTGTTCGTACTGACGGGGGCTCTCTACCAGAGCCACCTGCACGGCATCGCGGCACGGACCGAGGACTGGGTGCGTGCGCCGCAGACCGAGCCTCCATCTGAAGTCAATTCCACCGCTGAGGCCAATGGAGAAGGCAACGCTGAGCAGAAGGACAAGAAGGAAGGCGCTGCAGGCGAGACGCAGCCCGGCGCGCCCGTCATCATCGCGAACGCGGATCTGCTCAGCCCGATACCGAAAACGCTCGTCTCGAGTCCCGAGGGCCTCAAGTACGAGCGCGAGACGAGAGTCAGCCTCACGTTCCGGCACGCGAAGAAGGTGCTGAAGGGCGGCAAGTTTAGCATGCTTGGCGGAGCGCTGAGGAGGACGTAGAGCATGCATGGGGCTTTACATGTCACCTGTCGATTGAGGAGACTGATGGAGCGTACTGATAGATTTCCTCAGACTTACTCTAGCTGTCAATAGGAACTCATGGGCCGATGACCTCTTGGCTAAGGTCTTCGTGTGACGTGTCATCGGAGGCGAGCACAGTCCAGCATGGGGAGGTTGATAACCGGTCTTCCGTGAACGATAACCCTCGGCGTCTCAGATCATGCCAGCTCGAGAATGGGCCGATCACCCACAATCTTGCTCACGGAAGCCAGCCGAAGGGACATTCCTCGGCACGCGCTAGCAGCTATGAGCTCAAGTCTGGCCACGGCGTTCACCAGCTCACCAGAGATTGACATAACGGAACGATTCTGACTAATTTACTGGCTTTCCAGAACTTGATGCCAGAATGCCGTAATCGCCGCGCACTTCTCCACCAGAACGGCTAGACCACAGGCTGCTGTCGGCGAGGTTTACACATGCGACCTAGCTCGAGCCATGCGAGCCATGGACGATCACTTCACAGGTTGTTCTGGACGGCGACTTAGACTGGTTTGACAAGCTCGAAAGAGATCACACCTACCCATTTCACCGCAATCGCTTTCTGGGTAGATCGGTCGGCGATCTCTTCTCACCAGCGCAGCTACGTATCGGATATCGGAACCAAGCGCTTGTGAATGATACTGTGGCCGATCTCATAAGTCGTGGCGGATCTATGAGAAACCGATGAGTCTGCGGATCTCAATGCACCGAGTGGACTTGCACTTCGGGCGCCGGGGGCCATTACAGTAGGTGTAGAGCATGCGGAGCGGAGTCTGCGCAACAGACGGGGCCACCAGCACGCTATCGAGACTGCAGTCGGAGGAGGCCGAAGAGTGAGTGGACTTTCTGAATGGTCGCACGTGAGATCCCGATCCGTGCAGTGTTATTGTTCCAGCCCTCAGGTTGCAATGTACATGAGCAGTCTGTATGCGTGACGGGCCTCTGATTCAGATGGTGTGGCGGGGTCGTGGGCTAGCGCCAGCGGGTTCGAAAGTCTGTCCAGTCAAGAGCGATGAGTCAGTGCATAGAGCCCGGAGGAGTTGAGCAATTAGTGCGTGGGTGAGCTCTGAGTGACGAGCGGCGATATGGCGATGCCTGCAAGCTGGCGAGTGGCGAGTTCGCCGCAACGTACCATCGCCTACCGCCGCCTACGAAGCTAGTTCCAGTGTCTAGTATTGCTGTGCCGGGCGCAAGATGGCACGAAGGGCTGCATTCCTCGACATCAGTGTCCAATGTCTGGACCACGGTCCATGGCACCATGTGCTCCGGGCGCCATGCGTGCATGCGTGCCATGAGACATGGGTCGTGAGGACAAGCGGATCGGTCCCGTACGCCCCGCTCACGATCGCTCGAGGTGACTGGGAGTGACTAAGCTGTATCAGTGCGGAACGCTGGGTCAGCGGGCATCGCGGGCAGCGGGCAGGCATGCCAGGCAGGTTAGACAGGCTAGACAGGCGGCAAGCGGGCAGCAATAGGATCACTCCCATGAGGACACAAGAGTCTGATGCCAGACGGCCAGACGTGTAGACGAGCCAGGCAAGGCATCAAGGTCGAGAACGCTGCCGTGAGATCGGATCCCGCACAGCGAGCGCACAGAATAGAACGAGGAGGGTGACATGACTCGTCCATACGTCTGTACGCGTCAGCACGTCTGTGCGCAGGCTCACGCTTACGGGGCCTACGGGGAACGCACGGCATTCTGTGTCCTGCACACTCTGAAACACCTGTCACAGAGCACAGAGATGGATCCCACGCACTTCTTCCTCAGTTCCCTACGATCCCTGCCGTTTGCCGGGCTACCATTGTGCCGGTCCGAGCTGTGCCTCTTGCATCACTGTGGAGCAGGTTCTAAGCTCTGGGAGGTCTTCAGGTCTTCAGGACGAGCGGAGTGCGTGCACCTGACTGCCACGTGCAGTCCCAGCCCGTGCTTGCTCAATGTAGTGACTGCATCGAAAACCCGGACAGCACCAACAAAGCAGCACCGAAGCACCGATGATGGTGACCGACGTTGAGGGCAGAGTGGACAGGGGCGGAGGGAAATTACCCGATCGATCGACGCGACAGGCTGCAGACGGCCAGGCGCGCCAGGCGAGCGTGCCGGACCAAGGCCTGAGACCCGGTCTCACCGCAGTTCAATCATGGGCCAGGCCGGCCAGGCCTGCTCTAGCGCCGGGCGCGCCAATCGTGCCTCGTGCCCTCCCTGGCTGCAGCTGGGCTGGCGCCTTGGCGTTCCTCCTGGCTGGCCATGGCTGGGCTGGCTGGCTGGCCCATCAAAGACTCGTTGTCGAGCCGCACGCCATAGGGTCTCCAGACAAGGCGCTGGCCACTGGCAGGCCATGGTGGTTAGGAGGGTGACGTAAATACCATGGTCGTGGTCACCACCTTCACCACTCATCGCTCCCTGGCGACCAGGTGCTCCCACCCACTCCTGCCTGCTCCCACACGAGACCGATCTCACATCTCTGCCTGCCCACACGGACGACTCGCACGCACGCACCACACCACACGACCGGACAGGACAGGAACGCACCGCCTGAATTGCTGATTCACCCCGTACCACAGTTCCACAGACAACAACAGCGTCGCCAGCTCTCTGCTCGCTTCGCCCGCTCCTCGCCCCCCTGACCAAACTGGGGACTGAGGGATCTCCTGATCTCATCTCGTCCAGGTCGAGTCCTGATTCCGGTTTCGGAACCATAATCTCTGACAGCGCTGTGCCGCAGTCGCGTTCCACAACCCCAGCCCAGAGTGCAAAGCCGACCCCGAGCCGCCGTTCCCATTCAGTCATTATTAACGCGCCGCATCATCATCGTCCCCAAACGTCACAACCTCATCATTCCTCATCGTCATATCTCCTGCTGGTCTTTGACCTGATCTAGCCAGCACCCTCACTCTCTACCTACTCACGACGAGAACGACTCGACCTCGCCTCCGCCATCGACTCGCGCTCCTCGCTGCCCTCCTCGCCGTCGCCGTCTTCACCCTCGCTACCCTTGTCGACATGCCGTCCTTCAGCGCACTCAAGAACAAGCTGCAGGGTGTGCTCTCCGACGAGAAGGCCCCTCCCCCCGTCCCCGGCAACAAGCCCATGAACAACGCCCCCGGTACGCCCATGGCTGATGACGACTGCGAGTGTCCTCCTTCCGGCGGTGGCAGCAAGGTTCTCAATGTCCCCAAGTACCCCGACCTGCCGTTGATGCCGACGTCGCACGAGCCGCTCAACAACAAGGCCGTCGAGCGCCTCAAGGCTCTCTGCGACAAGGCGGTCAAGAGTGGCGAGACTTACACCATCACCAACTCGCCCATCACTTGCCCCGTCGGCAAGCACTACCTCTACACGCTCAAGCCGTACTGGTGGGAGACCAAGCCGGGATGCTGGGGTGAGTCCTTGCGGGCACCTATATTATGATGCTTTCTCATCGTCAACGATTTGTAGCTAACATTGCAGAGCAGCGCGACGGACAGAGGAACCCTCGTGAGTATTACGACTCACGACCTCCCGGCAGGGCGAGCCTGCGTGGGATGTCGTGTGTTCCAAGAGCTCGACAAAGGGGTCGTTTGAGCTGACGACAGTGTGTGACAAGCCGCAGGGTCAGAAGCAGCTCCAGGCCTTTGCCCAGACGATCTACCAGATGGCCTACGGGTGCAAGTACGTCGGCGACCAGAGCTACAAGGACTACGCGGACAAGCTCATCAACGTCTTCTTCCTTGACCCCGACACCCGCATGGATCCCGCCGTCAAGTACGCCCAGAGCAAGCCCGGTGCCGAGCCTGACGGCAACGAGCTCTTCGTCGTGGCTGTGAGTATTCTCTGACTTCCCCTACACCTCTTTGCGTCTATCTCGGTCCGGTGTCCGGCGCCAAGGAAACCCTGACTGGTCTGGGTTATCGCGAAAGTGGTCCAGCCCCTTCTGGAGGGTCTGGAAAGTCTTGCCCGCATGACCCGTGCGCGCTCGGCGGAGCATTCCTCTTCGACGAGACACCCCAAACCAAAGTCCAAGAATGGGCTGGACTCCCGTTGCCACGCGGTACAGCTTAACCGAGCGAGCCGCGCGGACGGGCCCAAGATCCTGCCGTTTGGCGGCATCCTTGCGTGCGCCCGTCTGGCACTGTCTGTGCCGTCTCAGGTGTTTGTGCCCAGATCCGTCAGTCCGCACGGACTCGAATAGCGGAAGTGGTTTCGATCAGGCTATCTGTCGGGCTTGCCTGTCGCCACTCCCACCACCTGCGCCACGCGAGCAAAGCTCGGTGCTAGATCAGCTCAGATGGCGGGGTCTACGATCGAGACTCTCGGAAATCATAGACCTCTACACAAAGCTCGCCCTGTGTCGAAGGTCAAGCTGACGAACAGGACCGCTACATGATCCTCGTGTCGCAGGCCCTCCGTCAGGTGCCGTGCGAGAAGTACGACGGCGTCCTCCGCGACTGGTTCAAGCAGCACGCCGACTTCTTCATGAACAGCCCGCAGGGCAAGAGCGCATCGACGTACCCGAACAACGTCGGCATGTGGTATGCCGCTGGAGTGAGTGTCCCCTCCGCTCGCTCTCGCATCAGTTTACCGCTGCGGACGTTTTAGCTGACCTCAGCTCGCGACGCACCTCGCATACGCCGACCCGGCCCAGGCGACGACGTACGCTCGCCAGGCGATGAGCCAGCAGATGGCCCGCACGCCTTCCGAGTTCTTCGCGCACGAGCTCAAGCGCACCCGCCCGCGACACTATGTCCTCTTCGCCCTCGAGGCCATCTTCATCCTCGCCGGCGAGATCAGCGGCGACCCGTCCCAGGCCCCGCCGCCCGAAGTGTGCCAGTGGCTCGCTAGCTTGGTGCAGTACGCGCGCTCGGTCCGTCCCGGAGCCATGGAGGCGGAGCGCGAGGCGGACAACCGATACCAGTTTTCGTGCCGCCTGACGCGAAGTCGCAGTGACCTCAGGTCGCTATCAGTTTACGTAACAAGAGTTATGGAAGGTAAGACCACGTGGGCGATCGGGCCGATCTTTCCAGCTGACCTCGGTGTTTCGGACGTCTCTCGGAATTAGCCCCCGCAACATCCAGCGGAGGGTCAGCCTTATCCAGCCCATCCCCTTATCAACGAGCGCTAGTGCTGCCTGAACTCGCCTGAACTTTATGACGTCCCCCAGGTACTCCAGGCACAATCCTGACGCCATTTCACACGATCACGGGTGGCCGAATTGTACAACCTGTACATCCTGTACAGCCTCGGTATCCCTCGGATCCTTGCACGGGCGATGAGCAGACTTGCCAGCGAGTCGAGTGGGCAGATGGATAGACATGGAGGAGGCCTTGAGCGCATCGAACACGACATACTTGAGCGAACTCAAGTCGAATGCGTCCAGCACATTGTGCACTTCCTCGAAGGTGGGAGCATGAAGCTCGGGCTGCGGCGTTGGGGTGACAGTCGCCTCAGACCCAGCTTCGGACGCGGCCACAGACTCGGGCACGTTGACGGACTTGGCTGACTTGGTGGAATTGACGGACTTGACGGACACAGCGCTGACAGAAGCAGCGAACGAAGCAGTGGAGGGCGCATCAGAGGGCGCAGGGGACGAGGCGCGAGGTGTGTCAGTCTTGTTCGAGTCGCCCTCCTTCCCACTCTTCGCGTCCTGGCCGGGCGAATCACCACCTTCGCCCCCTCCATCGTCAGACGTTTCGACGGCCACGTCTCCTCCACCAGATAATCCGAAAGCCTCGCCACCGACGCCTCCTTGAAGTGAATCATCCGCAACCTCACCGGGAGGTGGGGACACCGACCCACTCGGACCC